ATTTTTAGTAACGATAGTTTCACCAGGCTTTGGCCAGCTAGAGCTTGACTCCTGACTCAAGTGGATCCGCCTGCCTTGGCTCCCACAATGCTAGGATACGAGGCTAGCCATGTGCCCGGCCTAACAGGATTGGTTATGTGCCCCAGCCGGTCAGAGAATTTCTAACCTAAGCAGCAGTCTTCCCACCTCACCCTCCCAAAGTGCAGAGATTACAGGCATCAGCTGAACCACTGCACCTGGCCATGATAAGGATTTTGGATTTTACTCTGTGGCAAGTGGAGCGCCACTGTGAGGGTTTGAGCAAAGAAATGGCAATCTGCTTTACAGTTTGACGGAAGCATTTTGGCTGCAACATTAGGAACAGATGTAGAGAGAGGCAAGGGTAGACACCGGGAGACATTGTTAGGAGGCTTTTTTTACCCAGTGGATAGATGGTGGTGACCTGGGCCAAGCAGTGGGAGCAGGGGAGTCAGGTTGGACTACCTGGTGGATTGATTCTTATTGTCCAGGCTGAGTGCAATGGGCGATTTTCGCTCGACGTTGCAACCTCCGCCTCCTCAGGTTCAAGCAATTTCTCCTGTCTCAGCCTCCCGAGTAGCGGGGTATTTACAGGCATGCACCACACACCTGGTAATTTTTGTTATTGATTTTAGTAAAGACAAGGGTTTCACCATTTGCTCAGGGACTGGTCTTGAACCCTGGACCTGCAGGTGATACCGCCACCTGTGGCCTCCCAAGAGTGCTGGGATTACAGGCAGGGTGAGTCACTGTACGCCGGCCAACAGCGAGCTCTTGTATTTATGTTCACTGAGTGTATTCACGGGAGCCCTGGGACATCATAAAATTTGGAACGTAAGATGAATTGAAGTTGAAGCTAGAAGATGTTGGTGCTCAGATAATAGCTTGGTAGTCACTGTTATTAATTAGGTCATAGCGCCCAAGCTTTGATGTCCTACACTGTAGTTAAAAGCAAATGGAAGCCAGGGTGCAGTGTCTCACGCCTGTAATGTTGGTGAGGGACCAAGGCGGGGAGCGGATCACCTGGTCAGGAGTTCAAGACACCTGGCCAACGGTGAAACCTTGTCTTTTGTAAAAGACACAAGAAATTAACCAGACATGGTGGCGGGCGCCTGTAGTTCCCAGCTACTCAGTACCTTGAGAGGCTGAGGTGGGAGAATTCGCTTGAACCCAGGAGGTGGAGGTTTGCAGTGAACCCGAGATCGTGCACGCACCAGCCCTGGGCGGATAGAGGGAGACTCTGTCTCCAAAAAAAAAAAAAAAAAAAAAACACATTACCAAGAGAGGTAGCCACCCCGTATCCCACTTAGGGCAGAGTGGAGATCTTTACAGAAGTTTGAACAGACTGGTCACATGTAACCCCATTCCGCGCAAAAAATGTTAAAAAATTAGACCGTTGGCGCTGAACGGTCATCCCAGCTACTTGGCGCTTGAGCAATCGCGCTAACTACTGAAGTGATCAAGCAAACCCTGCAAACACTGGCGCAACAGACGAAGATCCTGCCTCAAAAATAAATAAATAAATAAAATAAGTGGCAATGTAGCTGGCGATGAGAAGATTAACATCAGCTGTCAGATATACAGGTAGTCCTGCTATCTTCTGTTGTGCGCGGTGGGTTTTGAGAGAGATCCAGCACGCCCCACCCTGTTAACTCTGAATCGTTGAGTGTTAATCTTCTAATGTCCACGCCAGAGAAGTGTGCGACTATTTATTTATTTATTTATTTTACAGGATCGCGTCCTTTGCCAGGTGTTGGCCGAGTGACATCTGGCTCACTCAGCCCTCATCCTCAGTAGGTTTCAAGGATCTCCCGCCGTCAGCCGCCTGAATGGGGATGACGGTGCACCCACCAGCGCCCGTCTAATTTTTAGGATTTTTGCAGAAATGGGTGTCTTCACGAATGTTGACCAGTCTGTGCTTCACAACTTCTGGCCTCAAACGATGCCTCCCGACCGTCTTGCCTCCCAAAGTCTGGGATTACTGGGTGAGCTGACTTCTTGGCTTTCCAATGTGCTTTGTTTGTTTTTTTTTTGAGAACAGGTCTCCGCTCTATCGCCCAGGGCTGTGGAGGTGGCAGTGCCACCACTTCGGGTTCACTTGCCAACCTACCACCTTGCTGGGTTCGAGGGGGATTCTACCACCTCAGCCTCTCACAGTAGCTG